CAGTCTGTAGTGGAAGGAAGGCGGGTAGGGGTCGGCCTAGGAAGGGTTGGAGGGAGGGGTAAAGGAGGTTTTGTGTCCCGAGGGGCTTGGACTTCCAGCGGCATGCGTGAGCGTGTTTGATAGGAGTGAATGGAGACAAATGGTTTTTAATACTTGACGTGCTGTTGGAGTGTGAGCAAAGTAACATTTATGAAGGGATTCAGGGAAACCGGCAGGCCGGACTTGAGTCCTGGAGATGGGAAGTACAGTGCCTGCACTCTGAAGGAGGGGTGTTAATGTTGCAGTTTAAAAACTGTAGTGTAAAGCACCCTTCTGGCAAGACAGTGATGGAGTGAATGATGGTGAAAGTTTTTCTTTTTCGGGCCACCCTGCCTTGGTGGGAATCGGCCAGTGTGATAATAATAAAAAAAAAAAAGAGCAACTTTTGTTTTTCTTTTTAAGTCACCCTGCCTTAGTGGGATACAGCCGGTTTGTTGGAGAGAAAAACAAAACGCTAATATTTGTGGAGACAAAGACCATTATCCATGGAGGCAAAGAAGGGAATGTATGAGAGTATAGTGGTACCAACTTTTTTATGTGAAACATCATGTCTAAGGGCAATGTGTGACAAATATTATGCAGAGAATTTGTAGTGTGGAAATTAGGAGGAGATGTGGAGTTAATAAAAGTACTGTTCAGAGGGCTGAGGTGGGGTTGTTGAAATGGTTTGGTCATTTAGAGAGGATGGAGCAAAATAGGATGACTCGGAGGGCGTATAAATCTGTAGTTATGGGGAGGGGTAGGGGTCGTCCTAGGAAAGGCTAGGAGGGGATAGAAGAGGCTCTGTGTGCAAGGCGCTTGGACATACAGCGCGCTTGCTTGTGCAGGTTGTTGTGGTGTGTGGGTGGTTGAAGGTGGCCTTTGTTGTGGATGTGCTGAGTCAACAGCATGGCTGCCAGCCTGGGGTGCCACTGGTGCCACATGACACATTACACCACCACCTGCTGCAGCATGTATATTATCCATCCCAATTGTAACAGTACTCACTACTCATACCATCTTCCCGACCACCCACACCGTCTTCCCCACCACCCACACCGATTCTCCACCACCCACACCGTCTTCCCCACCACCCACACCGTCTTCCCCACCACCCACACCATCTTCCCCACCACCCACACTGTCTTGCCCCCACCCATACTAGAAATAAGTCACTGACTTTTTTGCGTTACCCTAGGTTCTCTACACATGTGCTGCTATGTAATGATAATCTTTGTAACTGTATTTGTGTACATGTATCTGAATAAACTTACATGTAGTCTTCCTCACCATCCACGCTGTCTTCCCCACCACCCAAGCTGCCTTCCCCACCATCCACGCGCTGTCTTCCCCACCACCCACGCTGTCTTCCCTTTCCACTATCTGTATTTGGTATCATGGGCATTGCTTTCAGTCACAAACTCGTCAAAACCATGAAATTCATCCTCACTGACACTTCCATCTGTGTTAGAATTATCACTTGGGAAGAGAACAGTCCCAATTCGCCGGGAAGTCAGTCAGGTATTCCTTACCGCTAGGCATGGTGAACAAGGCATACTGAACTGGCACTCCCACAATGCACTGCAGCCTCACAGATTTTTTTTATACTGCACACACTGAGCACACAGACCCATTCTCTCATGTGCAGACCTACAAGCTTTCTCCCACCAGATCTGAAGCTGCTAGAATTCTGGCATTGTATTATGGGACCGACACTTGCTTGCAAGCCATAATATTATGGGAGACATAACTACATACAAAATACTGAGAGGAATTGACAAGTTGGACAGAGACAGGATGTTCCAGAGATGGGACACAGAAACAAGGGGCCACAATTGGAAGATGAAGATCTCAGATGAGTCAAAGAGATGTTAGGAAGTATTTCTTTAGTCAGAGTTGTCAGGAAGATAAACAGTCTCGCAAGTGACACAGTGGAGGCAGGAACTATGCATAGTTTTAAGACGAGATTTGATAAAGCTCATGGAGCAGAGAGAGGATCTAGTAGCGATCAGTGGAGAGGTGGGGCCAGAAGCTATGACTCGACCTCTGCAACCACAAACAGGCGAGTACTGTCTTTGCAGATGCACTCAGACGAGACAGTTTAGATGTCCCTCCATACTGCCAATATCCCAAACCCCTCTGTTAAAGTTTACCTGGAGTTTACCTGGAGAGAGTTCCGGGGGTCAACGCCCCCGCGGCCTGGTCTGTGACCAGGCCTCCTGGTGGATCAGAGCCTGATCAACCAGGCTGTTACTGTTGGCTGCACGCAAACCAACGTATGAGCCACAGCCCGGCTGGTCAGGAACCGACTTTAGGTGCTTGTCCAGTGCCAGCTTGAAGACTGCCAGGGGTCTGTTGGTAATCCCCCTTATGTATGCTGGGAGGCAGTTGAACAGTCTCGGGCCCCTGACACTTATTGTATGGTCTCTTAACGTGCTAGTGACACCCCTGCTTTTCATTGGGGGGATGTTGCATCGTCTGCCAAGTCATTTGCTTTCGTAAGTGTGCAAGTTCGGTACTAGTCCCTCTAGGATTTTCCAGGTGTATAAATCATGTATCTCTACCGCCTGCGTTCCGGGGAACAGGTTCAGGAACCTAAAGTGCTCCCAGTAATTGAGGTTTTTTTATCTCCGTTAGGGCGCGCCGTGAAGGTTCTCTGTACATTTTCTAGGTCAGCAATTTCACCTGCCTTGAAAGGTTGCTGTTAGTGTGTAGCAATATTCCAGCCTAGATAGAACAAGTGACCTGAAGAGTGTCATCATGGGCTTGGCATCCCTAGTTTTGAAAGTTCTCATTATCCATCCTGTCATTTTTCTAGCAGATGTGATTGATACAATGTTATAATCCTTGAAGGTGAGATCCTCCGACATGATCACTCCCAGGTCTTTGACGTTGGTGTTTCGCTCTATTTTGTGGCCAGAATTTGTTTTGTACTCTGATGAAGATTTAATTTCCTCGTGTTTGCCATATCTGAGTAATTGAAATTTCTCATCGTTGAACTTCATACAATGTAAACAAACCAGATGAATGTGTCTGGTTTTCGTCACAAGTCCTACAAGTTGCCTGGCTACCACAAGTCCTACAAGTTGCCTGGCTACCACAAATCCTACAAGTTGCCTGGCTACTACAAGTCGCCTGGCTACCACAAGTCCTACAAGTCGCCTGGCTACCACAAGTCCTACAAGTTGCCTGGCTACCACAAGTCCTACAAGTCACCTGGCTACCACATTTCATTTTTTTTTTTTTTTCTTTCAACAAGTCGGTCGTCTCCCACCGAGGCAGGGTGACCCAAAAAAAAGAAAGAAAATCCCCAAAAAGAAAATACTTTCATCATCATTCAACACTTTCACCACACTCACACATTATCACTGCTTTTGCAGAGGTGCTCAGAATACAACAGCTTAGAAGCATATACGTATAGAGATACACAACATATCCCTCCAAACTGCCAATATCCCAAACCCCTCCTTTAAAGTGCAGGCACTGTACTTCCCATTTCCAGGACTCAAGTCCGACTATATTTTCATATTTACCACATTTCATATTTATGTTAATTTATTCTACTGTGGGATGTATTTAGATGGATTAAGCAAAATGTCTATATTAACGTTTTATATGATATTTAATGCTCCTTAGTGATTACTATTGTTATTATTATTATCATTAATATGGCATCTTCAAGACTAATAAGACACTCTTAGTGATTTTTATGTGTACCTGCATGCCAGCACAGTGTGCAAGTTTACTTAGGTACAGGTACACATACATATAATTATCAGTTATAATAATAATATAGGTATGTAGTCTGCCTGGGCTACATACCTACATGATATTTAATGTGGCCCAGAGCCATATTACCATCAACATACCATGTGGCCCGGTGGCCTGGTGGCTAAAGCTCCCGCTTCACACACGGAGGGCCCGGGTTCGATTCCCGGCGGGTGGAAACATTTCGACACGTTTCCTTACACCTGTTGTCCTGTTCACCTAGCAGCAAATAGGTACCTGGGTATTAGTCGACTGGTGTGGGTCGCATCCTGGGGGACAAGATTAAGGACCCCAATGGAAATAAGTTAGACAGTCCTCGATGACGCACTGACTTTCTTGGGTTATCCTGGGTGGCTAACCCTCCGGGGTTAAAAATCCGAACGAAATCTTATCTTATCTTCTTCACTGAGTTTAATCATTTCTAACAACTACCTTTAGATGTTATCATAAACAAAGTAAGAAGTAATGAATAATTCATGCCGAGAATTGTAAACAAAAGCGTTGTGTATTAAGGGGAGTGACAAAATGTTTTCCCTCTGCCCGGCTACCACACCTCCATAGTATATAAACAAAATGTTTATATGCTATGTAACATGTTTCTTATATAATTTTGAAGAAAATATAATAGATGGATTAATGAAAATGTCTATATTAACGTAAAACAAGACATTTAATGTGCCCAAGAGTGATTATTATTAGTACAGTGCAGGCATTGTACTTCCCACTTCCAGGACTCAAGTCCGGCTAACCGGTTTCCCTGAATCCCTTCACAAAGTATTACCCTGCTCACACTCCAACAGCTCATCAGCTCCCAAAAACCATTCGTCTCCACTCAATCCTATCTGACATACTCACACAAGCCTGCTGGATGTCCAAACCCCTTGCACACAAAATCTCCTTAGTTGAATCTGAAGATTTAAATGTTTTTCTTTTTATCACAAAGGCTGTCTCCCACCAAGGCAGTGTGACCCAAAAAAGAAATGTAGTTTTTATTTTTTTTCTACATTTAATTAATAATTTCTACAGAAGGGTTACTAGCATCTTGCTCCCAGCATTTTAGTCATCTCTTACAACACGCATGGCTTACAGAGGAAGGGTTCTTTTCCCCTTCCTCACAGAGAAGAGTTAAATGTACAATAATTAAAATTACACAATAAGCTTATTTTATGTTTGAAAAAGGAGTTTTATGAGTCTCATTCTACAGTAAAACTTACATGCATCCTCCAGTGCCATCCATTAGTTTGCCTTCAACAAAAGAGTATATATCTTGGAATTCATTTTCACGGCATGGTAATGACTCGGGGACTGCTGAAACATGAAGGCGAGAACGAGCCAATTCCAGTGGTGACTGAGGATGCTTCACAGGCTCATCTCGGGCTGGTATTCTTGGAGTCGCACACTTTTTCTGTGATGTCTTGTGTGTGCTGGATGGTGTGTGGGGTAAGTGTTTCTTGAATTTTCTGTAAATTTATGAACAATGCATTAGTAAAAAAGGCTGTTCACTATTATTTAAACTAATATGCTCTTTTAGACATATTTAATCCCTTTATATAAAAAATGTTGAGTTTACCCTTTCATTACTTTTAATTACCACTGTTATAATAATTTTTCTTAAACTATGACAGCTGTCTCCCACAAAGCAAAATATATATATAGAATTCACATTACAAGTTAATTTACACAAAACTGAAACAGTGAAAACTTAATAAAAGATTTGATAAATGTAATTCTGCGGTTAAGCTGTTTTTCTGCATAAAACTCAATCTCATGCTTACTGAAATGCCATTTCATGCACAGTAATAGCTCCCTTACTCAAATCTTTATTATTTGGAATGCTCCTGAATAAAATACTGAATATAAAGGAAAAAGAGGACAAAAGAGGTTAACCCTTTCTGGGTCAGTGCCTGTGGACATGTTTCAGATTGGGGGTCTGGACCCTAAAGAAGTTAAGATTTGTAAGGGAATAAGCCTGCTAAGTATACCAAGTCATGTGTATGGTACAATTATTAATGAAAGAATTAGGAGTAAGACAGAGAATGTGACTGCAGAACAAGGAATGGGTAAGGAGCTATTTGTTGTAAATATGGATTCAGTTGCTTTACCCTCTTTCGCAGCCGGGATTGATAGGATAAGGACAGAAAAGTTATAAGCAGGTGGGGATATAGTTTTGGAGTGGATTGTGCTTTTATTTAATGAATGTATGGAAGGTAAGGTACCTAGAGACTGGAAGAGAGCATGCATAGTTTCTTTGTATAAAGACAAAGGGGATAAAAGAAAGAGTAAAAATTAAAGGGAATTAAGCCTGTTGAGTATACCTGGTAAAGTGTACAGTAAAATTATTAGTGAAAGAATTAAGAGTAAGATGGAGAGCAGGATTGCAGATGAACAAGGAGGCTTTAGGAAGGAATAGGGGGTGTGTAGACCAAGAATTTACAGTGAAACATACACGTGAACAGTATTTAGAGAAGGGCAAAAAGGTTTTTGTGGCATTTATGGATTTGGAAAAGGCATATGATAGGGGGCAATGTGGCAGATGTTGCAAATATATGGAATAAGAGGTAGGTTAGTAAAAGCAGTGAAGAGTTCTTAAAAGGATAGTGAGGTTCAAGTTAGAGAATGAAGGAGAAAGTGAGATAATTTCCCAGTAAAAGTAGGCCTTAGAAAGGGATGTGTGATGTCACCATGGTTGTTCAATATATTTATAGATGAGGTTGTAAGAGAAGTGAATGCTTGGGTGTTGGCATGAGGCATGGGATTAAAAGATAAAGAATCTAACGCAAAGAAGGGGCTGTCACAGTTACTTTTTGCTGATGACACTGGGCTTTTGGGAAATTCTGAAGAGAAGTTGCAGAGGTTGGTGGATGAGTTTGGCAGGATATGTAAATGAAGGAAATTAAAAGTGAACATAGAAAAGAGTAAGGTGATGAGGATAACATAAAATTTAGGTAAAGAAAGATTGGATATCAGACTGGAGGAGGGAGTGTGGAGCAAGTGAATGTATTCAGATATTTAGGAGTGGTCTTGTCAGATGATGGCTCTATGAAAGACGAGGTGGATCACAGAATTGATGAGGGGGGGAAAAGGTGAATGGTGCACTGAGGAGTCTGAGGGTCCAGTATAAACAATGCAGACATTCCTGGCACTAAAATAACATTTGATCTGTTTGTTAGTCACGTCTCCAGGCCCCTCTTATATTACGCTTGCTTTTCATTTTGAATTCTTATTCACACAAATAACAGAAGATTTACTGTTATTCGGACTACTGCATAATTGTAATAATTGTATAAATAACATCAGTGCATTTTTGACTGCATATTAGACCCACCAGTTGATGTGTATTGGACGCGTGATATGATTTGTTTACTCTTGAACATCGGCAAAAATTTAACATTTCTGCTGCTTAGAGCTCAATTTCAAGCCACTTGTACTCTTTAAACCATTGAAAATCTTCTCTATTTCTGTAATGCAATATATCTTCCATTCTATCAAATGAGATCAAGAAAACAAGAATACAACCATAAATATCATACGAAAAAAAAGCAAAGTCGCTATTTTAAACCAAAAACATGGTTGCAGTTTTTTCTCATTATGCACTGTGTGCTGCAGGATTTTTTTTATACTGCACACATTGACCATACAGACCAATTCTCTCACATATAGGCCTACCAGCTTTCTCCTTCAAGATTTGAAACCACTAAAATTTTCCCATCAGCTGTCCTCTGACAGATAAGAAGCAGTTAAATTTTCACTTACTGTACAGGATTTCAGTTAAATTTTCATTTAGTATTCATTTTTACAGTTTCTGTGTGCTGTATAATACACTGTTTTATACAGTAGTTAGTACATTATTATTATTAAATTATTATACTGTCATTTTTGGTCTGGAATGGATTAATTCTATTTACATTATTCTTTATGGGAAAAACTGGTTTGGTTGGCAATCATTTTGATGTTTGAACTGACATCTGGAACAAATTAAGTTCGAAAACTGAACTTAATTCGTTTAGGAGGGCTTAGGAGGGTCTACTGAGGTGGTTTGGACATCTAGAAAGAGTGGATTGAAGCAGAATGACTTGGACAGTGTATAAATCTGTAGTGGAAAGAAGGTAGGGTAGGGGTCAGCCTAGGAAAGGTTGGAGGGAGGGGGTTAAAGGAGGTTTTGTTTGCGAGGGGCTTGGACTTCCAGCAAGCATGCCTGAGTGTGTTAGATAGGAACGAATGGAGACAAATGGTTTTTGTGACTATGTGCTGTCCGATCGTGAGCAAGATAACATTTATGAAGGGATTCAGGAAAACTAGCAGGCCAGACTTGAGCCCTGGAGGTAGGAAGTACAATGCCTACACTCTGAAGGAGGTTGTTGATAAGTTGCAGTTTTATAACTGTAGTGTAGGCATGCCTCTGGCAAGACAGTGATGGAGTAAATGATGATGAAAGGGTTTCTTCATATTTCCCACCCGTGCTTTGGTGGGAGGCAGCCAATGCGTTAATAAAAAAAGAATGGATTTAGAAAAGACATATATTTGAGTAGATAAGAGAGCAATGTGGCAGATGTTTCAAATGTATGGAATAGGTAGCAGATTAATAAAGGCCACAAGTAATGCTAAGATTAAGGTATATATGAGAGAGGCAAGTTATCCCTCATGGTTGTTTAACATATTAGATGGGGTTCATAAAGAATAAAATGTCACAATAACATGGCTAGAACAATACACCAATAACCCATTCTAGGAGACTAGAAATTTATGATGGCATTTCAGTCTGACTTGGACCATTAACAAGTCACAAAAAAGTGAGAGGAGAAGGGAGCCAGAATAAATACAAGAGGGGGCAGGAAAGAAAGTGGCAGACTGGGAGGGAGTGGGGGAAAGGGGAGTGGTGGAGGTTGGTGGTAGTGGTGGCAGTGATGGTGGTAGCAGTAGAAGTGCAGTAGTGGTAGAGGTAGAAATAAGGTGGCAGTAGAAGTGAAAAAATTAAGTCTTCTTAGTGTGGGTTATTTATGTATTGAGATGGGGTTGAAAAATAAGTGAATGCTAGGGTGTTGAAGAGAGTCTGGGATTAAAAGATAAGGAATCTGATACAAAGTGGGAGTTATCACGGTTGCTCTGTGTTTATGATACAATTCTTTCGGTAAGTTCTGAAAAGAAGTTGCAAAGGTTGGTAGAGGAATTTGGGAGGGTATATAAGAGAAGGAAATTAAAAGCATACAAAGAAAAGAGCAAGGTGATAAGAGTACCAAAAATGTGTAGGCAATAAAAGACAGGATATCAGATAAGACAGAGGGAGTATGGAGAAAGTGATTATTTTTTTTCTTAACACTAGCTGTCTCCAACTGAGGAAGGGTGACCCAACAAAGAAAACACCTTCACTGTTACTCATTCAATCACTATTTTTACCAAAAGGGGCACCAACATTACAGTTCAGATGACCCTCCAAACCACAACATCCCCACCCTTCCTTCAGGGTGCAGGCACTGTACTTCCCACCTGCAGGACTCAGGCCTGCTAACTGGTTTCCTTAAATGCCTTTATAAATTTTACCTTGCACACACTAACAGTTTGTTAAATCATAAAAACCACTTGCCTTACCTCCACTCACTCCTATTTAACAAACTCACACAAGCTTGTTGGATGTTCAAGCCCCTAGCACTCAAAATCTTTACCCCTCCCTCCAACCTTTCTTAGGACGATCCCTACCCCTACTTCCCTCCACATCAGATTTATACACCCTCCCAGTTATCCTAATTTTCTCCAATCTTTCTAAATGTCAAAACCACCTCAACCACCCCATTTATATGAGTGTGAGGCATGGGCTTTCAATGTTACAGCAAGGCAGAGACTGGAGGCAATGGAGATGTCATGTTTAAGAACTATATGTGGCCTGAACATTATGCATAGAATTCAGAGCATAGAAATTAGCAGAGGTTATCAGAGGTATAATTTAGGGAGACGAGGAAGGATTGTTGAGGTGGTTTTGGGATTTAGAGGAGGATGGAGCAAAATATGATGACCAGCAAGGTTTATACATCTAGGATGGAAGGAAGGAGGGGGGTAAGAGTTGTACAGGAAGGGATGGAGTGCTAGGGACATAAGCATCCAGCAAGCTTGTGAGAGTATACTTGAGTGGAATGAACAGACAAGACAGGCTTGACATCCTGCTGGATGTCAAGGGACTCAAGTAAACTGACCTGCCAAACAAGAGTTCTGCTGGTAGAAAGTGCAGTGCTTTTATTATGAAGGATGGGTGGGGAAGATGCAGCTCAGAATAAAAGTATGAATGGTACATATACTGACAAGTAATGTAGGTAAACTAAAAGCTCCCAGCAAGTGAAAAGTAACCTAAACAAAATATCCAAGCATTTCCAATGTATCTGTTTGCCTAAAGATATCCACATGCTTCTGGCATGACAACTATTGAATGAATGATAGTGAATGGGTTTCCTTATGTGGGTCACATTACCTTAACCCCTTTGAGGGTCGAGACCCTCGATCCTGAACTCCCACTCAGGGTCAAAAAAAATTATTTTTTCTTATGAAATGATAGAAAATCTTTTCCCAATGGTAATTACAGCAAAAGTTTGAAATTTGATGGATAACTTATGGAATTATGCTCTCGCAAAGTTAGCGGTCTCGCTGATATTTACGCACTGGCAATTTTGCCTACTTTGAGCCCTATTTTCGGCCAATTCCAATATTCCAGTCGAATAAAATCACAGCTATTTTGCTAGAATTCTATTTGTGCTGTCAACCGAGTACAAGAAACTGCCCATTTACTGATTTCAACTACCCAATAAAGTGGTCAGAAATTGGCAATTTGGCCAATTTCACACAAATTTCAAAAGATGCCAATTCCAAAATTGGTCCAGAATAAACAAGGCAGACATTCCTGGCAGTAAAATAACATTTTCTCAGTTCATTAGTCATGTTTCCAGGCCCCTCTTATATTACTCTTCCCTTCCATTTTGAATTTTTATTCTCATAAAAAAATACAAGATTTACTGTTATGCCGACTACTGCATTATTGTAAAAACGATATAAATAATATCAGCGCACCTGTGAAAGAATATCAGACTCACCAGTTGACATGTATTGCACGCGTGGTGTGATTGTTTACTCGAACATCGGCAAAAATCGAACATTTCTGCTACTTTGAGCTCAATTTCAAGGTACCTTTCATTGTGAAGCCAATCAAAATCATCTCTTTCTGTAATATATTTTCCATTCTATCAAATGAGACCAAGAAAACGAGAATACAACCATAAATACCATATGAAAATACACTGCAAAGTCGCTGTTTTAAATAAAAAACACAGTTTTTTTTCTCATTATGTACTGCGTGCTGCAGGATTTTTCTTATACTGCACACACTGACCACCCAGACCCATTTTTTCATATGTAGGTGCTAGAATTTTGGCGTATAAATACGTGACTGACCCTGGCTGTTAAGAAGTACATGTACGTGACCGACCTCAAAGGGTTAACTGAGAAATAGTTGTTGTGGAAAACATAAATGTTAACACAGAAGCAGCACAAGTAAAACTATAATCAAAGTACTGTAATAAGAAAAAGAATACTGAAGAAATTGCACAGAACAGAAAATACATGAACCTCTTTGGCCATGAGATACAACATAGGAAGAATCAATCATGTTCCAGTACCTGCCTGGAGTTCTTGAAACAGGTTCACTTTCCTTGTGATCCTCTTCATGGTCTCTCAACTCCATGCGTGTTGAAAAGACCTCACAACAAGTATCACATTCGTATCTCTTCTTAGTGGAACTTTTGGGCTTTGGTTGAACATTTTTTTTATTAGGTGTTATGGATTCTGAACAGGGTCCAACCTCTTTTTTATTTTTACTGGTGCCTTTCATTACTGATGTTAGGTTTGGTAATGGAAGGTTTTGATATGATTCTCCATCTATCTCCATATGATCTATCTTTGAGTTAACAGTTTGATTCACACAGAAAGAGGACTCAAATTTCTTATATGGCTCTGGTGTAGGCTGTTCCTCCTCTTCATTCCTGCTGCTGCTACTACTACTGTCATCTTCACTATCACTGCCCAGTAAATTGCTGATTTCATTTACTTTAAGGGCACGTACTTTGCCAATTTTTTTAATGTTTTCAATCTTTTCATTTGGTGAATTAAGAATTGTTGAAATACCATTTGGAGATTTCTGAGGTGAAGCTTTCCTGTTAAATTTGGGTGACAATGGAGTGATGTTTCCATTTCTATCAACTTCTCCATCATTCAATTCTCGATAACATACAATCTTATGCTTTCGTCCATAGCTAGAGCTTGTCTCCCTGCTGGCCAAACTTCCATCATTTGTAGCTTCACTCAACCTATCCTTCCTTTGAGTATCATTCTCCTTAAGAGTGGTTCGAGCTCTTTTTCTTGGTATGTGGTTATCATCATCTGTAGCTTGTCGCTTCAAGTTCTGAGGAAGTTGTGCATTAGCAGTTGTGTTGTCTTTAATTTTGGGAAGCTTCAGTGAAAACGTTTTCTTTCGTAATTCAAACTTTGCACTAGGCTCTGTTGGAAAGAAACATAAATGTAAGCTACATGCAAAGTAAGGTACAATACAATGGCAGAACAATTCACAACTAACCCACAAACTGGAGACAAACTTTTGGATAGTCTCAACACCGATTTATTATAGTACCTAAAATTTATTGCTTTTAAACATACTGTACAAATTTTTTATATATATTTTTTTTCAACATGTCAGCCATTTCCCACTGAGGCAGGGTGACATAAAAAGAAAGAAAAACCCAAAAAGAAAGAAAACTTTCATCATCATTCAACATTTTCACCATCACTCATACATAATCACTGTCATTGCAGAGGCGCTCAGATACGACAATTTAGATGTCCCTCCAAACTACCACTATCCCAAACCTCTCCTTTAAAGTGCAGGCACTGTACTTACCATTTCCAGGACTCAAGTCTGGCTAACTGGTTTCCCAGAATCCCTTCACAAAATATTACCCTGTTCACACTCCAACAGCTCGTCAGGTCCAAAAAAACCATCTGTCTCCATTCACTCCTATCCAACATGCTTACGCACGCTTGCTGGAAGTCCAAGCCCCTCACCCACAAAACCTCCTTTACCCCCTTCCTCTAACCTTTTCGAGGATGACCCCTGCTCTGCCTTCCTTCAATACAGATTTATACATTCTCCATGTCACTCTTATTTTGTTCCATTCTCTCTAAACGGCCAAACTACCTCCACAACCCCTCTTCAGCCCTCTGACTAATACTTTTAGTAACCCCACACCTGCTCCTAATTTCCACACTACAAATTCTCTGGATAATATTTACATCACACATTGCCCTTAGACTCAACATCCCCACTGCCTCCTTGCTGCAGCATTTACAACCCAAGCTTCACACCCATATAAGAGTGTTGGTACCACTAAACTTTTGTACATTCCCTTCTTTGCTTCCATGGATAACATTTTTTGTCTCCGCAGACACCTCAATGCACCACTCACCTTTTTTTCCTTCAGCAATTCTATGGTTAACCTCATTCTTCATAAACCCATCCTCTGACAAGTCAACTCCCAAATACCTGAAAACATTCACTTCTTCTATACTCCCTTCCTCCGATGTGACATCCAATTTTTCTTTATCTAAATCATTTGATACCCTCATCATCTAACCCTTATCTATGTTCACTTTCAACTTTCCACCTTTACACACCCTCCCAAACTTGTCCAGTAACCTCTGCAACTTTTCTTTAGAATCTCCCAAAAGCACAATATCATCAGCAAAAAGTAACTATCAACTCCCATTTTGTATTTGATTCCCCATAATTTAATCCCACCCCTTTCCCCAACACCCTAGCATTTACTTCTTTTATAACCCCATATATAAATATATTAAATAACCATGGTGACATTAAACATCCCTGTCTAAGAAGTACTTTTACTCTCTCCTACACACCCTAACCTGAGCCTCACTATCCTCATAAAAACTTTTTGCAGCATTTAGTAACTTACTACCTATTCCATACACTTGCAACATCTGCCACACTGCTCCTCTATTCACTATCATAAGCCTTTTCTAAATCCATAAATGCAATGAAAACTTCCCTACCTTTATCTAAATACAGTGGACCCCCGAGTTTCGTGATTAATCTGTTTCAGAGAGCCCGCCGAAGGTCGAAATTCACGAAACTCGAAACCATTTTCCTCGTAAGAAATAATGGAAATAAAATTAATCTGTTCCAGACACCCAAAACTATTAAAATAAATTTTTTTTTTAAATTAAATAAAGATTTACATAATGAAAACAATCAGAAATCAAGTACATGCATTTAAAATAAATAATAATAACATTACACTTACCTTTACTGAAGACTTCTGGGTGGATGGAAGATGGGAGGAGGTGATAAGAGGAAGGTGTACACTATTGTTTGGAAGGAAAATCTCCTTCCATTAGGACTTTAGGTAGCAAGTCCTTATCTAGGGTTACTTCCCTTCTTCTTTTAATGCCACTGGGAGCAACTTGAGTCACTGGACCCCTGGCGCACAAAATATCTATCCAGAGAGGTCTTCTTCTGGCATTTCTTTAAGATTTCCCTGAAGTGGGACACAACACTGTCATTGTACATGTTGCAGATACGGCTTCTTTCAGCTTGGTCAGGGTGATACTTTTCAACAAAACTTTGCAACTCATTCCACATTTCACACATGTCCTTAATCACTGAAGAAGGCACCTCATCCACTCCCTCTTCCTCCTCCTCTGAAGCAAGTTCCTCGGCTGTGGTCTGATGCTGTTCCAGTTGAAGCTCTTGCAGTTCGTCAGTGGTTAGCTCTTCCCTGTGGTCCTCCACCAACTCTTCCACATCCCCGTCACTCACTTTATTTGCCAAAGGGCTTGCACTAGCTTTCCTTGGGTCCATGGTGACTTATTTAGCAGTTGCAAGCACAAAAAACAATGGATTATTATGAAATGTATTGTATGAACCCGCGGGGTGATGGCCACGTGTTGGTAAACAATGGCACACTTGAGCGTGAATGGCGTGGGAGACTGGCTTTGTGTGCGCGGTGACGGGCAGACGGGTACCAGACGGTCGCCGAAACACGAGTTTTTTCACGAAAGTCGAGGCCAAATTTTTCAAAAAAAAAAAAACTGCCGAAGGTCAAATTTCGCGAAAGTCGAGGCTGCTGAAACTCGGGGGTCCACTGTACTGTTCACATATATGCTTCAATGTAAACGCTTGATCTACACATCCTCTACCCACCCTAAAGCCTACTGGCTCATCTGTAATCCTGCTCTCTGAGTTACCTCTAATTCTTTCAATAATAACCCTACCATATACTTTGCCTGGTATACTCAGTAAACTACTACTTTCAACAAACTGGCCGTATCCAACCGAGGCAAGGTGGCCCAAAAGGAAAAATGAAAGTTTCTCCTTTTAAATTTAGTAATATATACAGGAAAAGGAATTACTAGTCCCTTGCTCCCAGCATTTTAGTCACTTCTGACAAATGCATGGCTTACAGAGGAAGAATTCTGTAACTAGTAAGAAAATAGAAGAAAACCCAGAGGGGTGTGTATATGTATGCTTGTACATGCATGTGTAGTGTGATCTAAGTAGAAGTAGCAAAAAGTACCTGAAATCTTGCATGTTTATGAGATAGAAAAACAGCATCAGCAATCCTACCATCATGTAAAACAATTACAGGCTTTCATTTTACACTCACTTGACAGGACGGTAGTACCTCCGTGGGCGGTTGCTGTCTACCAATCTACTACGTAAGGCTCAGTAAACTTAGTCCCCTATAATTTTTGTAATCTCTTGTCCCCCTTCCCTTTATATAAAGGAATTATAGATGCTCTTTGCCAATCCCTAGGTACCTTCCTCTCTTTCATACACTCGTTAAACAAAAATACCAACCACTCTAACACTATATTCCTCCCCTGCTTTTAACCCTTTCAGGGTCCAGAGGCCAAATTTCAAAGTGTGCACCAGGGTCCAAGAACTTTCAAAAAATAATTTGGTTATTTTTTCTTATGAAATGGTAGATAATCTTTTTCTGAAGGTAATAAAACAAAAAGTACAAAATTTGATAGAAAATTGACGAAATTATGCTCTCGCGAATTTTGATGTGTCAGCGATATTTACGCATCGGCAATTTTGCTGACTTTGATTCCCATTTTAGGCCAATTACATTATTCCAGTCGACGAAATTCCTTGCTATTTCACTTGTATTACTTCCACTAAACTAACATTTCCTCTGTTCATTAGTTACGTTTTGAGGCTTTACAAATGAATTACATTTTTATTTTTTATTCATATAATGAACTTTTATTCAAACCAAAAAATAGAAGATTTACTGTTACGCAATATTGCAATAATTGTATAAATAATACCACCACATTTGTGAACGTATATTAGACCCACCAGCTGGCGTGTATTAGACGTGTGAGGTCATTTGTTTACTCTTGAACATCGGCAAAAATTTAACATTTCCACTACTTTGAGCTCAGTTTCAAAACATTTTCAGTACTAAGACCTATCAAAATCATCTCTATTTCTGTAATATATCTTCCATTCTATCAAATGAGACCAAATAATCGCAAATACAACTAAAAAAACATACGAAAAATCACTTCAAAGTACTGTTTTAATCGAAAATTACGGTCTCAGTTTTTTTTCTCTCATTATGCACTGAGAGCTGCAGGATTTGTTTTATGTGGTGCACACATACCACATAGATGTATTCTCTCATATGTAGGCCCAAATTTACCACTCAGCTTATCAGAGTGAGCTGAGCTCATGGCGTAGATATACGGTTTGGACCCTCAACGTAAAGCCGTAGATCTACGGCACGGACCCTGAAAGGGTTAACCCTTTCAGGGTCGAGAGGCCCTCTCCTAAACTTGTTCTCAGGGTCGAAAATTTTTCAGAAAAAAAAAATTATTTTTTCTTATGAAAAGAGAGAATCTTTTCCCAATCATAATGGCACCAAAAGCATGAAATTTGATGGAAAACTCACGGAATTATGCTCTCGTGAAGTTAGCGGTCTCGATGATGTTTACGCATCGGCGAATTCACCCACTTTAAGCCCTGTTTTTGGACAATTCCAGTGTACTAGTTGACAAAAATCATAACTATTTCACTAGAACTCTATTTTTTCTATTGAATGACTACAAGAAACCACCCATTTACTGATTTCAACTATCCAATAAAGTGGTCAGAGATTAGCAATTTTGCCAATTTCACACAAATTTCAAAATATGCCAATTTCCAAATAAGATCCAGAATAAATAAGACAGACATTCCTGGCACTAAAATAACATTTCCTCTGTTCATTAGTCACGTCCTCAGGCCCCTTTTACATTTCTTTTGCTTTCCACTTTGAATTTTTATTCTCACAAAAAATAGAAGATTTACTGTTAGGCAGACTATTGCATTAGTGTAGAAATAGTATATATAATATCAGCACACTTGTGAAAGAATATCAGACTCACCAGTTGACATGTGTTGGACACATGGCATGATTTGTTTACTTTTGAACTTTGGCAAAAATCGAACATTTCTGCTACTTTGAGCTCAATTTCAAGTTACTTTACATTGTGAAACCAATCAAAATCATCTCAATTTCTGTAATATGTCTTCCATTCTATAAAATGATACCAGGAAAACTAGAATACAACCACAAATACCATACGAAAATACAGTGCAAAGTCGCTGTTTTAAACCAAAAACACGGTCAGTTTTTTTTTTTTATCATTACGCACTGTGTGCTGCAGGATTTTTTATACTGTGCACACTGACCACACAGACCCATTCTTTCATATGTAGGCCTACCAGCTTTCTCTCGCTAGATTTGAAGGCGCTAGAATTTACGCGTACTAGTATGTCAATAACCCTGGTGCGTAAGTCGTACTAGTACGTCTGAAACCCTGAAAGGGTTAACATATCTGTCATGATCCCATCAGTTCCAGCTGTTTTACCCCCTTTCATTCTACGTAATGCCTCATGCACCTCCCCCACATTCACATCCTGCTCTTCACTCCTAAAAGATGTTATACCACCCTGGCCAGTGCATTAAATTACTGCCTCCCTTTCTTCATCAACATTTAAAAGTTCCTCAAAATATTCCTGCCATCTACCAACTGTACAAATATCATTATAATAAAGTGCTAATCCTGTGCTATGTATTAAGTAAATAAAAAAAATAACAAGGAATTGCTTAATATTTCCAGAGATAGTATACAACAGAGCTTGCAGGCCAATGATTTTTTTTTAGAGCCTAGTGAATATGAGTAATTATGAAGCATTCAAGCAATATCTATGGTCTGATTCACTATACTGCTTAACATGAGTTAAGTATAAATGGATTTAAGAACATAAGAAAGAAGGAACACTGCAATAGGCCTACTGACCCATGCAGAGCATTTGTATCAGTCTCAATAGGTTTGGAACCTTAGTTTTCCCTTACACAGTTGGAAAACAAAGAGGTAACTTAGGAAAGACTAAATAATGACATTTTATACCTTGGAGAGTGATTTCTGGGGATGCCTCATGCACCACAGTTTTCTTGCTACTGGCTGGGGTTTGGTTAGTATTTTCTTTTCCATGTTTTAAGCTTGGCATAATAACTGACTTTCTACTAGGGGATAATGAATTTGTCAAGTTTGTCAAGTCATCTTCAAGAGATCGACGAGCAGTATGTCTGAAATGTAAAAAAAATTACCGATACTGATGGTAAATTTACAAAAAATGGCATACAGCATATACTCAGGTATAGGTCAACTGTGTGTACTGATGACACTTGACCATTGTTAAAATATTATAAACTTTTCACGAACGTTAGGGCCCCGCTTTACAGCATTTCGCTAATATGGCCATTTCAAATTATGACCAAAACTCACTATATGGCTCCCCCACCTGACTAATACAGTCACTGAGCCCCACCCAATTTGTTTACATTCTCCATGAGCTCCGTGAGCACCGCATCTCCATTATGTCTGGAAACTTTCCAAAATTTCAAGCGTTTTTAAGTTATTTCATATTTTATATATACGTACTCTGATAATATACTTATGTATACCTGTACCAAAATAAACTTACACACTGTGCTGGCATGCAGGTACACATTAAAATCAGTCTTATGTCTTGATATGCCATACACTTAATAATAATCACCGAGTCTCATTAAATGCCGTATATTACATTAACCCCTTGACTGTAGCAGCCCCAAATCCTGAGGTGCCTCCTGGTGTCGCAAAATTCCCCCCCCCCCAAAAAAAAAATTATTTTTTTCTTATGAAATGATAGAGAATCTTTTCCCGATTGCAATGACACCAAAAAAAACAAAATTTGATGGGAAACTTGACGGAATTACGCTCTCACGAAGTTAATGACCTCGGTGATATTTACTAATCGGTGATTTCGCCCACTTTGAGCCCTATTTTTGGCTTGTTCCAGTCGACCAAACTCATAGCTATTTCTTTAGAACTCAATTTTTTTAAATCAACTGAGTACAAGAAACTGCCCATTTACTGATTTCAACTACCCAATAACGTGCTCAGAAATTTGCAATTTTGCCAATTTCACGAAAATTAAAAACTATGACAATTTCAAAATAGGGCCCAGAATGAACAATGCAGACATTCCTGGCTCTAAAATAACATTTTCTTTGTTCATCAGTCATGTCTCCAGGCCCCTCTGATATTACTCTTGCTTCTATTTTGAATTTTTATTCAAACAAAAAATAGAAGATTTACTGTTATGCAGACTACTGCAATATTGTAATAATTGTATAAACAATGTCAACCCATTCATGACTGCATATCAGAATGACTACTTGAACATTCATTGGAAAATGACATCATTTGTTTACTTTTGAACATCGGCAAAAATCAAACACTTCCCCTACTTTGAGCTCCATTTCAAGGTTCTTTTCATAGTAAAACCAATCAAAATCACCTCTATTTCTATAATATGTTTTCCATTCTATCAAATGAAACCAAGAAAATGAGAATACAACCATAAATACTATACGAAAATAGACCACAAAGTCGGTACAGGTCTCCCTCAACATTCGCGAGGGTTAGGGGATCAAGAGCCTCGCGAATGTTTGGTGCCCCAATATATTGTAGGGAAATATAATACAATACTGTTTCCTTAACTTGCTGAACCATGAACAATCATAAAATACATGAAAAATGTCATAAATTGTACTAAATACATACATATTATGGTTTAATAGCATGTATGTTATTAAATACCACTGCCTCCACCACTGAGAGTCCCTATTACAATCCCTCCGACCCCCGCAGCTGGCAGCCAGCCCTCCCACCACTGTGTGGCGAGTGTTTTATTAATTATTTGCTATTAAACTACAGTATAAATAACGTAAACCCATTCATGACTGCATATTGGAATGGCTATTCAAATGAGAGAGTGGGTGAGATGTTATCAACAAATTTTGTTGAAAATAAGAAAAAGTTTTGGAGTGAGATTAACAAGTTAAGAAAGCCTAGAGAACAAATGGATTTGTCAGTTAAAAATAGGAGAGGAGAGTTATTAAATGGAGAGTTAGAGGTATTGGGAAGATGGAGGGAATATTTTGAGGAATTGTTAAATGTTGATGAAGATAGGGAAGCTGTGATTTCGTGTATAGGACAAGGAGGAATAACATCTTGTAGGAGTGAGGAAGAGCCAGTTGTGAGTGTGGGGGAAGTTCGTGAGGCAGTAGGTAAAATGAAAGGGGGTAAGGCAGCCGGGATTGATGGGATAAAGATAGAAATGTTAAAAGCAGGTGGGGATATAGTTTTGGAGTGGTTGGTGCAATTATTTAATAAATGTATGGAAGAGGGTAAGGTACCTAGGGATTGGCAGAGAGCATGCATAGTTCCTTTGTATAAAGGCAAAGGGGATAAAAGAGAGTGCAAAAATTATAGGGGGATAAGTCTGCTGAGTTATAGGTAGTAGGTTGGTAGACAGCAACCGCCCAGGGAGGTACTACCGTCCTGCCAAGTGAGTGTAAAACGAAAGCCTGTAATTGTTTTACATGATGGTAGGATTGCTGGTGTCCTTTTTTCTGTCTCATGAACATGCAAGATTTCAGGTACGTCTTGCTACTTCTACTTACACTTAGGTCACACTACACATACATGTACAAGCACATATATACACACCCCTCTGGGTTTTCTTCTATTTTCTTTCTAGTTCTTATTCTTGTTTATTTCCTCTTATCTCCATGGGGAAGTGGAACAGAATTCTTCCTCCGTAAGCCATGCGTGTTGTAAGAGGCGACTAAAATGCCGGGAGCAAGGGGCTAGTAACCTCTTCTGTATATATTACTAAATGTAAAAGGAGAAACTTTCGTTTTTCCTTTTGGGCCACCCCGTCTCGGTGGGATACGGCCGGTGTGTTGAAAGAAGTCTGCTGAGTATACCTGGTAAAGTGTATGGTAGAGTTATTATTGAAAGAATTAAGAGTAAGACGGAGAATAGGATAGCAGATGAACAAGGAGGCTTTAGGAAAGGTAGGGGGTGTGTGGACCAGGTGTTTACAGTGAAACATATAAGTGAACAGTATTTAGATAAGGCTAAAGAGGTCTTTGTGGCATTTATGGATTTGGAAAAGGCGTATGACAGGGTGGATAGGGGGGCAATGTGGCAGATGTTGCAAGTGTACGGTGTAGGAGGTAGGTTACTGAAAGCAGTGAAGAGTTTTTACGAGGATAGTGAGGCTCAAGTTAGAGTATGTAGGAAAGAGGGAAATTATTTCCCAGTAAAAGTAGGCCTTAGACAAGGATGTGTGATGTCACCGTGGTTGTTTAATATATTTATAGATGGGGTTGTAAGAGAAGTAAATGCAAGGGTCTTGGCAAGAGGCGTGGAGTTAAAAGATAAAGAATCACACATAAAGTGGGAGTTGTCACAGCTGCTCTTTGCTGATGACACTGTGCTCTTGGGAGATTCTGAAGAGAAGTTGCAGAGATTGGTGGATGAATTTGGAAGGGTGTGCAAAAGAAGAAAATTAAAGGTGAATACAGGAAAGAGTAAGGTTATGAGGATAACAAAAAGATTAGGTGATGAAAGATTGAATATCAGATTGGAGGGAGAGAGTATGGAGGAGGTGAATGTATTCAGATATTTGGGAGTGGACGTGTCAGCAGATGGGTCTATGAAAGATGAGGTGAATCATAGAATTGATGAGGGGAAAAGAGTGAGTGGTGCACTTAGGAGTCTGTGGAGACAAAGAACTTTGTCCTTGGAGGCAAAGAGGGGAATGTATGAGAGTATAGTTTTACCAACGCTCTTATATGGGTGTGAAGCATGGGTGATGAATGTTGCAGCGAGGAGAAGGCTGGAGGCAGTGGAGATGTCATGTCTGAGGGCAATGTGTGGTGTGAATATAATGCAGAGAATTCGTAGTTTGGAAGTTAGGAGGAGGTGCGGGATTACCAAAACTGTTGTCCAGAGGGCTGAGGAAGGGTTGTTGAGGTGGTTCGGACATGTAGAGAGAATGGAGCGAAACAGAGTGACTTTAAGAGTGTATCAGTCTGTAGTGGAAGGAAGGCGGGGTAGGGGTCGGCCTAGGAAAGGTTGGAGGGAGGGGGTAAAGGAGGTTTTGTGTGCGAGGGGCTTGGACTTCCAGCAAGCATGCGTGAGCGTGTTTGATAGGAGTGAATGGAGACAAATGGTTTTTAATACTTGACGTGCTGTTGGAGTGTGAGCAAAGTAACATTTATGAAGGGGTTCAGGGAAACCGGCAGGCCGGACTTGAGTCCTGGAGATGGGAAGTACAGTGCCTGCACTCTGAAGGAGGGGTGTTAATGTTGCAGTTTAAAAACTGTAGTGTAAAGCACCCTTCTGGCAAGACAGTGATGGAGTGAATGATGGTGAAAGTTTTTCTTTTTCGGGCCACCCTGCCTTGGTGGGAATCAGCCAGTGTGATGATAAAAAAAAAAAAATTTGATGGTGACATCATGTGTTTACTCTTGAACACAGCAAAGAATCAAACATTTCTGCTACTGCTAATAATAACAATAGTAATAATAATAATAATAATAATAATAATAATAATAATAATAATAATAATAATAATAATAATAATAATAATAAATATGATAGAATTGAAGAAGGAAATTGTACAAAAATACGAGGGATGAAGCAATAGTGGAGGGAGTGGTTCACACATCGTCAGTGTGGCTTTGTTTATGCTGGAGTGAACATTAGTCTCCGTGCTCTTCCAAACATTTCACAATAATTCATTGTGTTTGGTGCTTGTAGATTGAGTGCGACTGTTGTGGTAGAGGCAGTGGTTGAGGCAGCGGTTGAGGCAGCGGTATTTAATAACATACATGTTATTAATAATAATAATAATAATAATAATAATAATAATACATGTTATTAATATGTACTATTATTATTAATAACATATATGTTATTAAATACCACTGCCTCAACGACTGCCTCAACGGCTGCCTCAACGGCTGCCTCAACGGCTGCCTCAATGGCTGCCTCAACGGCTGCCTCAACGGCTGCCTCAACAGCTGCCTCAACGGCTGCCTCAACGGCTGCCTCAACGGCTGCCTCAAAGGCTGCCTCAACAGCTGCCTCAACGGCTGCCTCAACGGCTGCCTCAACAGCTGCCTCAACGGCTGCCTCAACGGCTGCCTCAACGGCTGCCTCAACGGCTGCCTCAACGACTGCCTCAACGGCTGCCTCAACGGCTGCCTCAACGGCTGCCTCTACCACTGCCTCTACCACTGCCTCTACCACTCCAATCACACTCAATCTACAAGCACCAAACACAATGAATTATTGTGAAATGTTTGGAAGAGCACAGAGACTAATGCTCACTCCAGCATAAACAAAGCCACACTGACGATGTGTCAACCACTCCCTCCACTACTGTTTCAACCCTCGTATTTTTGTACAATTTCCTTCTTCAATTCTATCATATTTATTATTATTAATATTATTATTATTATTATTACTAGTGTTATTATTAGCAGTAGCAGAAATGTTTGATTCTTTGCTGTGTTCAAGAGTAAACACACGATGTCACCGTCCAATACCTGTACGAATTGCCATTCCAATATGCAGTCATGAATGGGTTTACATTATTTATACTGTAGTTTAATAGCAAATAATGAACAAAACACTCACCACACAGTGGTGGGAGGGCTGGCTGCCAGTTGCGGGGCTCAGAGGGAGGGTAGTAGGGACTCGGGGACTCGCAGGTGGCGGGAAACTTAAATATGATTTGGCAGCTGGGAATTTGGTGGTTGGGAATTCGCGAATGTGTGAAGCCTGCAAAAGTTGAAAATGTGAATGTTGAGGGAGACCTGTATTTTAATTAAAAAAAAAAAAAAGCGGTCGGAGTTTTTTTTTTCTCATTATGCACTGCTTGCTGCAGGATTTTTTTATATGGTGCACACTGACCACACAGACCCATTCTCTCACATGTGGACCTACCAGCTTTCTCCTGCTTGATTTGAAGCCACTAGAATTTATGAGTATATATACGTCAAAAACGGTGGCTCGAAAGACGTATATATACGACCAAAACAGTCAAAGGGTTAAGCATCAGCACTTTGAGAAGGAAGCCAATCAGGTTCATTTGTCAATATAATGTACTGTACATAAATGTAGAGGTAGCATAATACGTAGAGTATATAGCTGCCTACCACCCACTTTCATCATCATTCACTTCATCATTATCTTGCCAGAGGGGTATCTACACTAGTTTAAACACTGCAAAATATCAACACCCCTCCTTCAGAGCACAGGCACTGTACTTCTCACCTCCATGACTCATGTCTGGCTAACTGGTTCCCCTAAATCCCTTCACAAATATTACTTTGTTCACACTCCAACAGCATGTCAAGTCCTAAAACCCATTTGCCTCCACTTGCTCCTATCCAAACTTATATAAAAGCATTGGTACCGCTATACTCTCATACAGTGCCATTTTTGCTTCTATGGATAATGTCCTGTCTCCACAGACTTCTCAGTGAGCTGCTCATCTTCTGCCTCCTCATCAATTTTATGGGTCACCTCGTCTTTCACAGACCCATCTGCTGACAAGTCAACTCCCAAATATTTGAACACATTCACTTTCTCCATACTCCCTCCAATCTAATATCCAATATCTCCAGAAAATACTGCTTGATTACCCACAACCATTACTAATGCTCTCAGTAACCATGGATGGATAGAGTAAAACAAGCATGTGTGAAGAGTGCAGCCAGCTATTTCACTTGTGCCTGACCTGCTGGCACAACTCTTAAGATCTGAAGATGTAGGACCCTAATTAAAAACACAAATGCAGTATAATGTGATGCTGACAACATTTCACCCACACAGTGGGATTTATCAAGTCTGTTTGTAGCTTGATACAGCCTACCTTGTGAGCAAAATGTTGTCAATAAAAGATCGCATTATACTGCATCGGTATCTTTATCCTGTGTCAGTATTTTATACTATTTCTCTCCATGTAGGATCCTGTTATGAGACATTTTCTTATATAAATGTGGAACTATACAATGTTTCTACTGTATCTTGGAAAATTGTATTAGCGCTACTGAAATTAGTTTTCTGTTTTAGAAGTGGTGTACACAAATTAATGTATACCTTTAAAGAGATCACTATTTTATTATAGTAATACTACCTGTATAAGTTTAATACTAAAAATAGTTCTTCTTTGAATTATTCTATAATGCCATGATTCACACAAGATCTCATTAAACTGTTTGCAAAAAGAAAAAAAAAGAGGGCCTAGTTTTAGAGAGGAAACAATGTATGACCTGATAATGCTGCAAATATTACCTAATTATATGATGAAGGGAGAGGGGTGGTACAAGGTTAAGTACAGTACTGTATTATACGTATGATCCATACATGCAATATAAATTAATTTTGAACTCGTATTTTCCATTACTCTAGTGTGGAGTAGATGCACAACATACTTGACTTTTAAACCCTCAAAAAATATAACCCATGATGAAGGTGACCTACATTTTGCATAAAATGTTAAATCTTAAAATCCTGGCCTACAGTATACCCAATTATGTACAGTAATTACATGAAAAACTTACAAGTTCTACAAGTACCAAAAAAGCATATATCAATATTTTCCATTACTTTTAGGATAAATAATAAATTTCTTACACTGAATATAGGAACAATCCAAAAACAAGAAAGGTTTGTATCTAATATCAAAGCTAATACAAACACACTTTTTGACATTCATCAGTGGATTCCCAAACCCATCCAGCGGATGAAGACGAGGTGTCTTGCCACCATAACTGAACCGGCAAACATAAAAAGGTTCTGAGCAAAATGAGGGCTTAGAGATATCTTTGGGATCAAGATGGCAGGGCACTTCTTGAACCTGTTGAAGAAAAAACATTAATTACAATAAATGACATGCATGCCAAAACTTGCATAATCGTGAGACAATATTCTTGGAATTATCTTTGCCAGTCTTGCACACAACCTTAAACAACTTAAATATGAAAAATGTAGTTTTTCAAGGTAGTGTGTGTTTTGGTTTTACTAGCTGGGTCAAGAAAAACTAATTTTAGGTGTAATATACCGACCTTCAGACTTGGATCACGAAAAAGGGAGACTTCCTTGGAACAAAATTGTTAGGGCTTTTAGACACAATAACAAAGTAATAGTAGGGGATTTTAACTTTAGTCAGATTGACTGGATGTCTTTGACCGGTAATCTGGAGTCCAGTGACTTTATGGAAGTAGTTCAGGACTGTTTTCTGAAGCAGTGTGTAACAGAGCCTACCAGGGGTAATAATTTGCTTGGCCTTGTCTTGTCAAATAAGGAGACACTCGTAAATAATCTGGAGAGTGCTGAAGAGCTTGGTGCAAATGATCACAAATCCATCACTTTTAGCATTAACTGGGAATGCGAGAATAACGATAATACGGTAAAAGTCCCTGATTTTCGATCTGCGGATTTTAATGGACTTAGGGAACACCTGTCTAATCTCAATAGGGGTAATCTAGCTAATGATTTTATTGATGATGATTATAAGACATACGAATGGAGGAACACTGCAGAAGGCCTACTGGCTCAATAAAGGCAGGGCCTTATCAAAATGACCTCTACCCAAAGCTACCCAAGAAATTACTCCCATACCCAATGACACCAATCAAACCCAGCCCCTCCCACTCACATATTTGTCCAATCTCTTCTACTTACGATTACGGAGGGATCTGTGTTTACGATTTTTTCTTAATAATATACAATGTGCGCAGAGTGTATGTATACATTCCCCAGAGACAAATTAGGTCTAACAATAACAATCCCAAATGGGTTAACAGGAGGCTAAAGCATCTATTAGGTGAGAAAAAGGGAATTTATAGGCACATCAAAAGAGGAGAGGTTAACCTTACTGACCAATATGTTCAGTTTAAAAGAGAAGTAAAAAAGGGAATTAGAAAAGCTAAACGTAGTAGGTAGGTAGGTAGGTAGGTAGGTAGTAGGTTGGTAGACAGCAACCACCCAGGGAGGTACTACCGTCCTGCCAAGTGAGTGTAAAACGAAGCCTGTGATTGTTTTACATGATGGTAGGATTGCTGATGTCTTTTGTCTGTCTCATAAATATGCAAGATTACAGGCATGTCTTGCTACTTCTACTTACACTTAGGTCACACTACACATACATGTACACATTTATTTATACACACTCATCTGAGTTTTCTTTGATTTTATCTTAATAGTTCTTGGTCTTATTAATTTTCCTTTTATATCCATGGGGAAGTGGAATAAGAATCTTTCCTCCGTAAGCCATGCGTGTTGTAAAAGTCAACTAAAATGCCGGGAACAATGGGCTAGTAACCCCTTTTCCTGTAAAGGATTACTAAAAAGAATAAGAAGAAGAAAATTGTCAAAGTGGGAAGTCTGAATGTGCGTGGATGTTGTGCAGATGATAGAAAGAGATGATTGTGGATGTATGAATGAGAAGAAGCAGGATGTCCTGGCTTTAAGTGAAACAAAGCTGAAGGGGGTGGGAGAGTTTCAGTGGAGAGGAATAAATGGGATTAGGTCAGGGGTTTCAAATAGAGTTAGAGCTAAAGAAGGAGTAGCAATAATGTTGAAGGATAAGCTATGGCAGGAAAAGAGGGACTATAAATGTATTAATTCAAGGATTATGTGGAGTAAAATAAAGATTGGATGTGAAAAGTGGGTTATAATAAGCGTGTATGCACCTGGAGAAGAGAGAAGTGTAGAGGAGAGAGAGAGATTTTGGGAAATGTTGAGTGAATGCGTGGGGAGTTTTGAATCAAGTGTGAGAGTAATGGTGGTTGGGGATTTTAATGCTAAAGTGGGTAAAAAATGTTATGGAGGGAGTAGTAGGTAAATTTGGGGTGCCAGGGGTAAATGTAAATGGGGAGCCTTTAATTGAGCTATGTGTAGAAAGAAATTTGGTAATAAGTAATACATATTTTATGAAAAAGAGGATAAATAAATATACAAGGTATGATGTAGCACGTAATGAAAGTAGTTTATTAGATTAGTATTGGTGGATAAAAGGTTGATGGTAGGCTCCAGGATGTACATGTTTATAGAGGGGCAACTGATATATCGGATCATTATTTAGTTGTAGCTACAGTTAGAGTAAGAGGTAGATGGGAAAAGAGGAAGGTGGCAACAACAAGTAAGAGGGAAGTGAAAGTGTATAACTAAGGGAGGAGGAAGTTCGGGTAGATATAAGCGACTATTGGCAGAAAGGTGGGCTAGTGCAAAGATGAGTAGGGGGGGGGGTTGAAGAGGTTTGGAATAGTTTTAAAAATGCAGTATTAGAATGTGGGGCAGAAGTTTGTGGTTATAGGAGGGTGGGGGCAGAGAAAGAGGAGTGATTGGTGAATGATGAAGTAAAGGGTGTGATAAAAGAGAAAAAGGTAGCTTATGAGAGGTTTTTACAAAGCAGAAGTGTTATAAGAAGAGCAGAGTATATGGAGAGTAAAAGAAAGGTAAAGAGAGTGGTGAGAGAGTGCAAAAGGAGAGCAGATGATAGAGTGGGAGAGGCACTGTCAAGAATTTTAATGAAAATAAGAAAAAATTTTGGAGTGGAGTTAAACAAGTTAAGAAAGCCTAGGGAAAATATGGATTTGTCAGTTAAAAACAGAGTAGGGGAGTTAGTAGATGGGGAGATGAGGTATTGGGTAGATGGCGAGAATATTTTGAGGAACTTTTAAATGTTAAGGAAGAAAGGGAGGCAGTAATTTCAATGCACTGGTCAGGGAGGTATACCATCTTTTAGGAGTGAAGAAGAGCAGAATGTAAGTGGGGGAGGTACGTGAGGCATTACGTAAAATGAAAGGGGGTAAAGCAGCTGGAACTGATGGGATCATGACAGAAATGTTAAAAGCAGGGGGGATATAGTGTTGGAGTGGTTGGTACTTTTGTTTAATAAATGTATGAAAGAGGGGAAGGTACTAGGGATTGGCAGAGAGCATGTATAGTCCCTTTATATAATAGGGAAAGGGGACAAAAGAGACTGTAAAAATTATAGAGGAATAAGCTTACTGAGTATACCAGGAAAAGTGTACGGTAGGGTTATAATTGAAAGAATTAGAGGTAAGACAGAATGTAGGATTGCGGATGAGCAAGAGGTTTTAGAGTGGGTAGGGGATGTGTAGATCAGTGTTTTACATTGAAGCATATATGTGAACAGTAATTTAGATAAAGATAGGGAAGTTTTTATTGCATTTATGGATTTAGAAAAGGCATATGATAGAGTGGATAGAGGAGCAATGTGGCAGATGTTGCAAGTATATGGAATAGGTGGTAAGTTATTAAATGCTGTAAAGAGTTTTTATGAGGATAGTGAGGCTCAGGTTAGGGTGTGTAGAAGAGAGGGAGACTACTTCCCGGTAAAAGTAGGTCTTAGACAGGGATGTGTAATGTCACCATGGTTGTTTAATATATTTATAGATGGGGTTGTAAAGGAAGTAAATGCTAGGGTGTTTGGGAGAGGGGTGGGATTAAATTATGGGGAATCAAATTCAAAATGGGAATTGACACAGTTACTTTTTGCTGATGATACTGTGCTTATGGGAGATTCTAAAGAAAAATTGCAAAGGTTAGTGGATGAGTTTGGGAATGTGTGTAAAGGTAGAAAGTTGAAAGTGAACATAGAAAAGAGTAAGGTGATGAGGGTGTCAAATGATTTAGATAAAGAAAAATTGGATATCAAATTGGGGAGGAGGAGTATGGAAGAAGTGAATGTTTTCAGATACTTGGGAGTTGACGTGTCGGCGGATGGATTTATGAAGGATGAGGTTAATCATAGAATTGATGAGGGAAAAAAGGTGAGTGGTGCGTTGAGGTATATGTGGAGTCAAAAAACGTTATCTATGGAGGCAAAGAAGGGAATGTATGAAAGTATAGTAGTACCAACACTCTTATATGGGTGTGAAGCTTGGGTGGTAAATGCAGCAGCGAGGAGACGGTTGGAGGCAGCGGAGATGTCCTGTTTAAGGGCAATGTGTGGTGTAAATATTATGCAGAAAATTCGGAGTGTGGAAATTAGGAGAAGGTGTGGAGTTAATAAAAGTATTAGTCAGAGGGCAGAAGAGGGGTTGTTGAGGTGGTTTGGTCATTTAGAGAGAATGGATCACAGTAGAATGACATGGAAAGCATATAAATCTATAGGGGAAGGAAGGCGGGGTAGGGGTCGTCCTCGAAAGGGTTGGAGAGAGGGGGTAAAGGAGGTTTTGTGGGTAAGGGGCTTGGACTTCCAGCAAGCGTGCGTGAGCGTGTTAGATAGGAGTGAATGGAGACGAATGGTACTTGGGACCTGACGATCTGTTGGAGTGTGAGCAGGGTAATATTTAGTGAAGGGATTCAGGGAAACCGGTTATTTTCATATAGTCGGACTTGAGTCCTGGAAATGGGAAGTACAATGCCTGCACTTTAAAGGAGGGGTTTGGGATATTGGCAGTTTGGAGGGATATGTTGTGTATCTTTATATGTTTATGCTTCTAGACTGTTGTATTCTGAGCACCTCTGCAAAAACAGTGATAATGTGCGAGTGTGGTGAAAGTGTTGAATGATGATGAAAGTATTTTCTTTTTGGGGATTTTCTTTCTTTTTTGGGTCACCCTGCCTCGGTGGGAGACGGCCGACTTGTTGAAAAAAAAAAAAAAAAAAAAAAAAAAACGTGACTATGAAATTAGAGTTGCTAATGAAACAAAGACTAATCCAAAGGGTTCTTTCAAGTATATAAGACAAAGGTGAAGGAAAAAGTAGGACCTCTGAAAATTGGGAATGGACAGCTGACGGATAATGAACTGGAAATGCGTTCCCTATTTAATGACTATTTTTTGTCAGTTTTTACACAGGAAGATATAAATGAGATTCCAGAAA